TTTTATATTTTTAGATTCCATTGCGGTTTTAAACAGAAAATTGCGAGCATTAGATGGCGTAATGTCACCAAGATGAGAACTTGAGAAAGTTGATGTGACTTCAAGCGATGCTAGTAAATCAAGTAATGGGATAGAAGGGTCCAAGCTTGAAAAAAGGCTAAATAATTCCGTAAAATTATTTTCACAATTGAATAATAATATATTTGAATTGTTGAGACAATCTTATCTAATTTCTGTACATAATTTAATTTTAATAGAACGAGAAAAGCCCAGTAGGAGATTCAGAAGAAAATTTACAGCTTAATTGCACAGTCGATGATTATGAGTTGAACAAGAGAACTGACAATGATAATGTATTAGATGTTTTGATATACAGATAGATTAAGTTAGAATTATAAAATAGGACTGCCGCAATAGAACTTTTATTTGTAATTTTCAGTCTGCTAAAGCTGAAGAAGGTGAAATAGTTTTTCATCTACTCCACTTGCAGTTCCTGATTTAGATTGCCAAAAAATTAAAATCCCGGAAAAAACCCTTTCTGCAACCAAGAAACAATCGGACATTTCTTAAGCCTCTGATAACTCTGATAAACCAGTACCAGTACCAGTATATGTAACTATGGACATGTTAAAAGAAGGTTTGGGTTGCAATAATTTCCTTTAAATAAATATTTTTACTTTACCGCTGGCGAAGCATGTCAATTTTTTAATTATATTTCATTATAGCTATGAGTGAATGGACAAAGCAAATATTGCCTTTGCTGCATCAGCAGTTAGAACCACAGCCATCTGCATCAAAAGTTCTTGAGAAGAGGAGAATAACTAACGTGATTGATAAGCCAGACTTGGAATCCATGGTGTCTTTTAATTTTTAGTTACAGATATTTTTTTCTAATTGAATGATAACTGATGTATTATTATCAGTATTTCCTACAAATGTGTTACGAGAGAATAATTGCAAAGGTGGTGCCCCAAAAAATGCTAATGATCTAACTATTCGTCATAAAGCTTTAGATGAAGATAAAATGAAAGCAATAAAAGAGTTGACATTAACAACTTCCTAAATTCTCTTGGCAACAAATTCATTGCAGGCGGAGACTATAACGCAAAAAACATCCACTGGGGTTCGAGACTAGACACCACTAGAGGCAGAGAACTACGTAAAGCTCTTTCGACTAACAACTACGATACACTGTCTACAGGGGAACCGACCTACTGGCCAACCGATATTAATAAAATACCGGATGTACTTGACCAGTCATCTGACCAAACATTTGTACTTCTGACAATAAATACAAAAATTACTCATAAAGCCACAACAAACTATTTACACAATAAAAACACTGACTGGGAGACTTTTTACGAAAAAGTCCATCATAACATCGACTTAAATCTTCCGCTTAATAGTAACGAAGACATTGATAAAGCCACGGAACATCTCACTTCAATCATACGAGAGGCAGTTGAAGAAGCTACCCCACCTAACAACAACACAACCACAGACAGCTGGAACCAATATCCCAAGAAAATGAAAGAAAAATTAAAACAAAAGCGAAAACTCCGAAAAACATGGCAATCAATGAGAAGCCCCATAGATAAAACAAAGTTCAACAGATCCACTCGTGAGCTCAAAAAGCTTATCTATGACTTCCAGAACGATACTCTTCAATATAGTCTTCAAAAACTTACAGCAACTGCTGCCACGGATTACTCTCTATGGAAAGCAACAAAAAGACTAAAACAGCCTCAGAAGCCAAACCCACCACTAAAACAACAAAATGGATGGGCTAGAAGTGATGCTGAAAAAGCCGAAGTACTTGCTAAACACCTAGCTGAAGTTTTTACACCTCTACCCGCCAACGCCGAAGACACAGACATCAGGAAATTTCTCGACTGTCCACTGCCCATGTCACTACCGATCAAATACTTCTCACCCACCGAAGTACGGTTAACAATTCTCAAAGAAATTAAGTGTAAAAAGTCACCTGGTCATGACCAAATAACTGGCAAAATACTCAAAGAACTGCCAGCAAAAGCTTTTGTATTCATTGCCTCCCTATTCAATGCTATCCTGGGAAACAATTACTACTCACCAGAGTGGAAAGTCGCTGAAATTATAATGATTCCAAAGCCAGGCAAACCACCCAAAAATGTGTCCTCTTATAGACCCATCAGCTTACTCAAGATTATTTGAAAAATTGCTGCTCAAACGAATAAAAGTAACTGCTAGCGAAGAAGAACTCATTCCCAACCACCAATTCGGCTTCAGAAATAAACACTCTACGATAGAGCAAGTTAACAGAGTATTCAACAACATATCCAATGCACTAGAAGAAAAAAAATACTGCTCTGCAGCATTCCTGGACATACAGCAAGCGTTCGACGAGGTCTGGCATACGGGTCTCCTATACAAAATTAAGAAGGATCTACTTCAGTACTACTTGTTATTAAAATCAAAATTGAGCAATCGCAAGTTCTATGTGCAACATGGACAAGCCAAATCCACATTCCACCTGGTTCAAGCTGGAGTCCTACAAGGCAGTGTCCTTGGACCATTCCTGTACACTCTATTCACGGCTGACCTACCTGTGGACGAGCAAACCACTACAGCCATCTTTGCTGATGACACAGCAATTATAGCAGCAGATACTGACCCTACGACGGCTTCAGAACTACTACAAAATGGGCTCAGGCTGGTACAGTCATGGATGGAGAACTGGAGACTAAAAGCAAGCCCAACTAAGTCAGTCCAAATCACCTTTACCACCAGAAGAGGTGACTGTCCACCAGTCACACCATATTGTGAACCTCTCCCTGCTACCAACGAGGTTAAATATCTTGGCTTACACCTAGACAGACGTCTAACCTGGGCTAAGCACATAAAAACCAAGAGGAAGGAAATGGAACTAAAAACAAGACTATACTGGCTACTTGGTAAAAAATCCAAGCTCTCGCTGAATAATAAATTAAACATCTACAAAATTATCCTAAAACCCATCTGGACGTACGGCATACAACTATGGGGAACGGCCAGCAACTCAAATCTAGAAATACTACAAAGATTTCAAAATAAAACAATTAGAAACATTGTTAATGCCCCCTGGTATGTATCCAACGCAATAATAAGCAGAGACCTGAGCATCCCGACTATCAAGGAAGAAATTATGAGACTGAGCGTGAAATACGAAGGCAGACTAGAAAACCACCCAAATCCTATAGCAACAGAATTACTAAACAAAGAGACAACTAGAAGACTAAAAGGGTTCAAAACAATTGATCTAAAAAATCGTTTTCAATAATATTAGTGGACATTGTCCTAAATACCCGTCATGTACATAAAATCACAAAAATTATTTATTGTTATCAAATAATAACAGATTGTAATTTAAATATATAATAAAAAAAAAAAAATTTATTCCTGCTGTAATATATGTGTATATAGATTTTCAGAAACTGTCAAACGTCGCTTTACGACCGGGTTCACAGAAAGTAAATTTAATGAAGCAATTAACAGCCGAGTCCAGTGATAGCAGTTTCAATCGGCTTAGCGAAACCAATGGAAATTTTGAAAAAACGTTTTTAGGGAAAATAGATAATTTAATAAACTATTTCACCACAAAAAATTTTTTTGAAAAATTTCATTTGTTTCGTGAAACCAATCGAAACTGCAATTGCTCTGCTGTTGGGAGTGCGACAGAGATAGTTCCGTCTAACTCCGTGAGAGCAAAGCGAGAAAAAGATGGTCTCGCCTGTTAATGTAAAATGTAACAAATTGCGAAACGGCGATAATAACAATAAGGTAAAATTTGTGCCATAAATTACGTCAATTGAATTGTTGATCAACTTCTTGAATGATTAATTTATTTAAGAAACCTAAGAATGATAAAGAAGAAGATGGTTTAGAGGATTTAAAATAATGAAAACCTACGTAATTTTTTACTTACCTTTTTAATCTATTAATATTTTATAATTCCGTTTATTATTTTTACTCACTTAATCAAAACTGTTATTAGTAGTAGACATTTAATTTATATTAATTAATTAATGGAAATCCTTAATGAGTGAACAAAAGTTTTGTTTGTATCGCATGATTTGATTTTTAATATTTTTGAACTTTTCTGAATAAACAATCATCTGATAAATATTAGATTGTAATCTTTATAAACACTTTAATTTACAATAATAATAATAATAATAATAATAATAATATTTATTGTTTGTTAGCTTTGCTATTTACAATTTACAATATATATATATATATATATATATATATATATATATATATATATATA